GAGTCTTGGAGGCCAACATGTTAAGATTAGGCTTTCTGAAGCCAAAAGGCCATGATTTAAGATATAGTGTTTGGACCCTGGAACAACAAGGTAAATGAGTCTTGGAGGCCAACATGTTAAGATTAGGCTTTCTGAAGCCAAAAGGCCATGATTTAAGATATAGTGTTTGGACCCTGGAACAACAAGGTAAATGAGTCTTGGAGGCCAACATGTTAAGATTAGGCTTTCTGAAGCCAAAAGGCCATGATTTAAGGTATAGTGTTTGGATCCTGGAACAACAAGGTAAATGAGTCTTGGAGGCCAACATGTTAAGATTAGGCTTTTGAAGCCAAAAGGCCATGATTTAAGATATAGTGTTTGGACCCTGGAACAACAAGGTAAATGAGTCTTGGAGGGCAACATGTTAAGATTAGGCTTTCTGAAGCCAAAAGGCCATGATTTAAGATATAGTGTTTGGACCCTGGAACAACAAGGTAAATGAGTCTTGGAGGCCAACATGTTAAGATTAGGCTTGGAAGCCAAAAGGCCATGATTTAAGATATAGTGTTTGGACCCTGGAACAACAAGTTAAATGAGTCTTGGAGGCCAACATGTTAAGATTAGGCTTTCTGAAGCCAAAAGGCCATGATTTAAGATATAGTGTTTGGACCCTGGAACAACAAGGTAAATGAGTCTTGGAGGCCAACATGTTAAGATTAGGCTTTCTGAAGCCAAAAGGCCATGATTTAAGATATAGTGTTTGGACCCTGGAACAACAAGGTAAATGAGTCTTGGAGGCCAACATGTTAAGATTAGGCTTTTGAAGCCAAAAGGCCATGATTTAAGATATAGTGTTTGGACCCTGGATCAACAAGGTAAATGAGTCTTGAGGGCAACATGTTAAGATTAGGCTTTCTGAAGCCAAAAGGCCATGATTTAAGATATAGTGTTTGGACCCTGAACAACAAGGTAAATGAGTCTTGGAGGCCAACATGTTAAGATTAGGCTTTCTGAAGCCAAAAGGCCATGATTTAAGATATAGTGTTTGGACCCTGGAACAACAAGGTAAATGAGTCTTGGAGGCCAACATGTTAAGATTAGGCTTTCTGAAGCCAAAAGGCCATGATTTAAGATATAGTGTTTGGACCCTGGAACAACAAGGTAAATGAGTCTTGGAGGCCAACATGTTAAGATTAGGCTTTCTGAAGCCAAAAGGCCATGATTTAAGATATAGTGTTTGGACCCTGGAACAACAAGTTAAATGAGTCTTGGAGGCCAACATGTTAAGATAGGATTTCTGAATCTAAAATTTAAGTTATAGTGTTGGGACCCTGGGCTGGGACTCTGGGTTGGGAGTCAATGTGTTTTAAAGCCCTTTAAAGCAAATGACAAAACATTAATCGTTTTGTCGTTATCTTTCTGCAGAGAATGTAATGCATCCGCCATGTTTATTTTAAGTTCTTTAGACAAGGAAGGGAAACAAACAAACACCTTTCTGGTTTCAAGTTAATGAATTAGTGGTATCGATGGCATTTGTCCCTTCCTTTTCGGAAAGGGATGATCAATCGTACAGTTCCATGATTTGCGAAAAAAGAGGACTGTAAGAAAGAAATGGTAAAAGACTAGGCATCTTGCTGGCTTGAGCTGAGGAATTCGTGGAATGGATTACAATTATTCCTTTCTCTTAAAAGAACCCCCCCATAAAAACAAGTTGTTTTACCCTATCCTTCATATTGAGAATTACTGTAAATCTTGCGCTGAACTTTCGACACTCGGAATATAGGTAATAATGGCACAGGTAATAATGGCACGCTGATAATAGCACAGGTAATAATGGCACGCTAATAATGGCAAGGTAACAAAGGCACGGGTAATAATGGCACGCTAATAGTGGCACAGGTAATAATGGCACAGGTAATAGCTTCACGGTAATAATGACATGGTAATAATGACACAGGTAATACGGGCACGGTGATAATGGCACAGGTAATAACTTCACGGTAATAATGGCATGGTAATAATGACATGGTAATAATGACACAGGTAATACGGGCACGGTGATAATGGCACAGGTAATAACTTCACGGTAATAATGGCATGGTAATAATGACATGGTAATAATGACACAGGTAATACGGGCACGGTGAGAATGGCACAGGTAATAACTTCACGGTAATAACGGCACAGGTAGTAAAGACATGGTAATAATGCCACAGGTAATAATGGCGCGGTAAAATGATACCGGTAAAATAGCACCTTTGAAAATGCCATAAGTAGACAAATAAGAAAAAATCGTCAAGTACACACCATTGATCTTAGTGACTCTACCACAACGCCATCATACAAGTTGATCTTATAATCTATTTTGTATATGTAATGAAAACTCCGAGGCTAGTTTGGCTTAATGCACCTTTAATGAAGGTAACTGAAGTGTCTTGTTAGTTTTGTCTAAGATGTAGTGATTTATACAAATCGTAAGACAGAGGAAGTAATCGGGTTTTCTTACCGCATGTATCCTTGGAAGAAAATCTTCTCTTTTCCTTTATTACTTAACATGACTTGTATGATAGCGTTGTCACTGAGATGAATGGTGTGTACTTAACAGTTCTGGGACAACTGAACCAGACGTAAATAAGCAGACAACAACAGTCTTCTGATTAAAAATTTAACTTAAAATAGCTTAGAATAAACTTAAGTTAATTTTAAGCACTTTAAAGAATCTGTTTTTCTCTTGTGCCATTTTTTTCTATATTTTTTTTCACGATTGCCATTATTAGCTATGCCATTATTACCATTCTCCACGTTACTAGATGGAGCACTTCGATGTAGTGTAATATGAATAAGCTTGTCTTGATAGATCAATTTCGACTGAGTAATGAGTTCGATACCCCCTGGTTGCTTTTCAGCCTTGTGCCACATCTAAGCTACGCTTCGGAAAAGAATATGGGCAAATTCTATGTGTAACCTTTGACAATAAGAACAGAGGATGAAGTTTCGACATCATACCCGATCGTGAGGCCTTCATCTTGTCATATAGAATATAAATTAATGGGATCGTAGGTTTTTGTAAATAAGCGCAGTTAAAAGGAGTTGAGCAGGATTACCTTTAGGTTTGGCGTTCCCTCACGATAGGGCTCCCTCCTCGGATTCTTCCGAGACAATTGACAGATCTAGTATATGTTCCATGCCAGAGGCTTTCTCTCCTCCTGCGTCTCTCACCGTTGCGTGATATCAGTTACGTACCAGTGGTATGAATAGCTTAGACGAGCTCTGACCAACTTAGATAAGCTATGACCAGCTGAGATCAGCTGGGACAAGCTTTGACCAGCTTAGATAAGCTATGACCAGC